TATTGGCTCCTCAACTCAGTAACACGATGACTCTCTTCACACTGTTGTTCTCATAGCATGTACGTACTTATACAGGAGCCTAATACAACAACAAGTCATGCGCTGCGAGCTGGCGACCTGTTTTACCCTGGTTGCCAATTGTTTAGCCAAAGTCGGGCTGGTCGGTTAAACCAAGGCTCTGTTGGATGTTTAACGCATCCTGACTTGTAACTAACTTCTAAGCGGTGAAGTTAAAAAGTTCATCCTCCTGATCAAGTTCGAAAACATCCTGGCTAAGTACTGGATGCGTAATACAAGCACACCTGAGTAACTACTGACCTTTGTAAGTTATACTGTTCAATATACGAGAACAACACAGTTCTGGAATATATCAGAGGTTACGACTACAGAACATACTGAGTACAGCAATCGGCTACAATGGACTGTTTACGCTAGCAAGGCAGGTATCTTGCAGAGAAGAGACAACTTGAAGGTTATGTCGCAGGTACCATAGAGGATACCGTGCAGATCTATGACGAAAATATACGAGTCTAGATAAGTCAGTAAGAACTAAGTTAACGCGATGTCCATATGCGATGAGAAAACATAACTAACGTTCTAGAATCCAGGTGTTCTCGGAATAGTCATGGGGGTGGGGGGGGTGGGAATGTGACCGTACAGAGAAGGTTGAGCCACGAATGACCTTACAGGGGTAGGGAGGAAGGGTCAGAGGGTAAAGGGGGCGGAATAATTAGTATCAGGGTAGGGGTCACGTGAGTTGTCTGTTCAGCCGACGGGAAACGAGATTTCTTCTGCTTGAAAAATTCTATCAAACTATTTTTGCAAACTACGTGGTTACAACGCTGCCCATGTATAGCCTGTCCATAAACTGTAACGGTTTTATACGTGATAATGATACGTGGTCATTGCCTGATAACAACAGCAACAGGTTTAAAACAAACGTAGTATTCTACGTGAGAGCACCCAAAGGTTAAATCTGGGTCACACGTGTCTGAATAAGACCGCCATTGTGGTGATTCATCAATGTACATTGACAGCTGGCGATAGAGTGCTTTACTAAATTGTGGGCTGCAAGATTTTGTTATACCGAGAAACCTTAAGCCACTGTTACACACGAAGATGGTCTCTGAACTCCAGCCGAACTCCCCCAACCATGGTCAGGAATGGGGTGGAACATATTTGGCCGGGTCGGCTAGTTCGGCAAGGCCGGCTATTACTTCAGCTTTGCAAGCAAAAAGTTTAAAACATTCGGGGGTTGATGGGAAGTTCACCATATCGTTAACTAGTATTGGGCTGTAAGGTAGCAAAATATCAGCGAAACAATCTGTAGCAAGTTAGCGGTGTTTGGGTTAAATTTCACTCATATTTAACTCAAAGTAGTATGTAAAGGTAGGCGTGACATAAATCTGTCCAGACTGTTTCCGAACTTCAGCCGACCTCGGTCAGCCGGTGTTCGGGAGTGTTGTCCGAAGGTCCTCAATGAGAGAGGGGCTTTATGCATGCAGCTCTTTCATTTACAAGTATCCAGGTAGATGCAATAGATTTAAAAGAACAATCGTATCCATTATGAGTTCAACCAATGTTTAATGTATGTTAAACAGTAGTTTCTCAATTAGCCGCAGTATACCTTGTAGAGAGATTTGTGGACAGTGCAGTGCTTATTTAATGTGTTCAGATGTTCCATATACGGAAACGGAGATGACTCTATCTTGTCCTTTTACAGTTCAGTCTCGGGATGTTGTTGTGTAGTATACAAAAGATATTTGTTTATAAATGCTGATCTATAAGCATAGAAACCGAGAGCTTAACAATTGTACTTGACTATATACATTTTAGAAACGACAATATATTTTTGTACATTTTTTTTTCTTATTAATGATTTACGAAAAGCTGGGGTAAACAGTAGACAGATATTATAATATAGCTTTCAACACTTCAATATCTCTGTAATACGGCTTCGATATCCGAATCAGAGTCATAGTGTAAACAAGGTTAACATTTACAAAAGTTCAGTTCGAATTAAGCGACACCTTGCCATTTTCCTTAGTTTGTAAATCGTGTACCTGTTGCTTGATTTGAACCATTTTTATGGATAGTAAATTTCCCTGTGAAGATAATAAAAATGACACGATATTGTAACTAGAATATTGATAACGCCTTTTTTAACCAACCGGTTAATTGTGCCAAAACTTGTAAACGTTTGGCGTTTAATAAATGTCTTCAGCATTCTGAAAAGAAATGTATGTTATATTGTGAAACTACGCAAAAGACTAGATACGTTTCCCACTTGATCCTGGCATGTTTGATACATGATTGTTTCATGATGTCGTTAACTTTATGTGGCAGCTTTTCTAGCCTAAACTATTGTATTCAGCCCCAGCTGTGTTTTTATAGCGATTTGAAAGCCCCCTGGTGGTATGAGGCACAGAACATACCGCAGGTTGGTAGATACCAAGAGAAACATTCGGTGTACAACACATTGTTTTGGAGATCTGGCTAGTAGACGGAAAATGGAAGTCCTGGTATTGCTGACATTTTGTTTAGAAACGTTCGGGCGGACGCTGGTCGCTTTCGTAGTTCTGAGCAGGCCTATGTCATTACATTAACGTTTGATTCAGACTCGTCACACCTGTGATAATTAAAACCTTAACCACATGCCGTGGCTTCGTCACGTAGTGCCCTGGATCGAGGGTCAGTTCTGGAGGTATTATTCTTGGAGGTAAAATATATCTCCAACAACATGACTTTACGGGGCATGGTTAGTTTGGATCACTCAAATAATGCAAGAAATGTGCAGTTACGTCCGGCAGATCTGACTCACCAGGGAACCAGTCCCACCAGAAGGTCAGCTTTGTTTTGTTTTCTTAGCAGTAGAATTTGTATTGTAAATTGCAAATTCCATGTAGGTGACGTTTACTGTAGCAGGGGTTTAAAGTCCAGTCTGTCTACGTTCTTCAAATTTTTTAAGGTTCAGAGCCAAGAATGAGGGACACAGCAGTCTACAACTTAACTCAAGGTCAGGGATTGTTTACAAATAAAGTGTCTAGGAGATATTCCGTGCCATAATTAAGTAAAGTAAGTAAATTAAGTTATTTTGGGTTTATTGTGGTTGTACAAACGTAGCATCAATCATTGAAAGGTTTATATTATGTAACCTTAACTGCCGTGTAATTTTCATATATTAGACTGTTTTTAAATGTTATCAACTCATTCAAAAAAAAATGCTACAATACTGTTTCTTAAATAGAAGCTCGCATTGTAAAGGCAACCATGTCCTCGGGTCGTGTCTATACATCAGATTGTTTATGCCATGTTTTAAAATCTCCCAAAAAGCTGCCGAAGGTGTTTTTGTACTCAAACGTAGTTTTGTTTTAGTGGTTGGTATGGCCGACACGATACTGAAAACGAAATATTGGATCTCACATATAAGTAATGTAATGCACATCTAAAGACTGAGCTCTAAAACACAACTGCCCAATAAAAGACAACCTGTGGACTTTCAAATTTAGACTTGCACAGAAGGGCTAGTTCATAGACGTTGAATTGAGGCCTGTAATACACAGGCGTGGGTTTCCATAGCTTTGAAAATTGTCCATTTGGCTATGGTTATTGTAAAAGTTTTGTTCCTTAAGCCATAAATGCTTAGTTACGTATCTATTTTTTACAAAGATAATCTCATGCTAAGTAATTCTTGTGTCAACGATAGAAACAAGGGTAATTAATAAGCCCAACAAGCTACCTAGTACTTTACACCTAAGAAACATCTGTTTACTGTAACACTTTTACTGTAACATAATGTACATGTTGAATCAAATACTTGCCGTTTATCATATTTGATGACCGATTTGTGTTGATTGTGAGCACAGAGTAATATCAATTTGTAGTTAAACAATCACGGTGGTCTGTCACTACGGCATTCTTTCCCATTGCTGGGGGCGTTCGATAAAGTATCGGGTTACAAGACGCAATTTTGGGCTAACCGTAAAACATTTGAAAATAAACAAACTAGTATCGGAGGGAAAATTTCGTTGAAATAAAATAAAATTATCGTCTTTACATACATTTAGTGGTGATTTTTTGCGCTAAATGGATGATTTTTTCGGATTACGTTAAAAAAGTCGATAATTTATGGAATTTCGGTGCGCCATATTTTAGCCAATCACCGAGCAAACCTGGCTACCCATATTACGCAAGGTCACTGATTTTTATATTTTTCGACGACCAGGAATAAGATGAAAAATCGTGCTTTTGGGATTTTTTAATTTCGGACTTAAAGTATAGTTTTGGTCGACAAATAGGTGAAAAAATCGATTTTTTTGCTTTTTTCGCACTTAATTACCCATAATTCAAAATCAAGAGCATTTTTCAAAAATCCCAAAAGCACGATTTTCGGGACAACCATGGCAGTCATTTTGAGCCGTAAATGGGGTATGTTTGACTCTCCATGCTTCCAGGTTTGAACGAGTTTTGCAGACATGTCATATCTCCCAAAAGTGTGCACCGTGTTATTTATAAAGGTGTAAAGAATCATTACAGTATTCAAGGTTACCCAAGGATACGACAGTAGCTTCGCTACATGTTACATGTCCGCAAAAAAATGATAGCGGACATGTACTGTCCTGGAAACTGTTTGTATCTATAGAAAAGTGTTGTTTTTTATCTGTTGCGAGGAACTCAGGCAGAAGGGCTTGTTTTGCCGCTTTATTGCAAATGACCGCAGGTGACCCCGAAATGGAACGCGGGTTCGATTCGAATTGCCCAGATCGAACACGATCGAACACTGTTCGGATTCTATGAAATGTGGGAATTTTGCATCCCAGATTTTACCACCGTGCCTGTCGTTCTTGAGTTATTTTGTTGACAAAATTCAATTCCCTATTGAATGCTTTACGTGGAATTCTTAGAATATTTTCAACTCAAATCGCAGTACTATTACAACGGCTCCGCCCCTTAGGCGTCGTCAAAAATCATGATCAACGTAACGAAGCGTGTTTACTCACATGCAAGAGGTCGCGTTGTCTGCATGACGAGACAAAGAGCAGGTAGTGTCGTTCTCTTTGGGTACAGCACATTGCGGGAAAATCACTGTAGATGCGAATTCCCGGAACTCGGGATGTCGGTTCTGTCCGTTTGTGGGCGAACTGATGAGCAGGTCCACAGCAGAGGAATTCTGTATCTCCTCAAACGTCGTCTGGCCCAGCTGATTGGGTAACATTGTAAGTCTACCGCCGAGGTTGAAATCCACAGGAATCGGCAGGCACTCTGCATATTACAAAATAGCCATTGTACCATTCACATTCTTTAAACATGGACAGGAGGCACTGACAAAGATGTAAAAATGATCCATTAAGAATTCTGCCCGAAATGCAAGTTGAAACTTTTTTGGCAGCATCATAAAATCATCGGACTTTTACCATAATAATGATTCTATTCTTTTATTTCTATTTATTTTCTTGTTACTTTCAATTTTTTTCAGCATTAAGGGCCACGACAAAACAAATAGTATAGTCAACAGACTTTGGATGATGGGAGTTAATATTGTGAGAAAAGCATGACGGTAACAGGAGTAAATAATGCTTAATATCAAGACCTTCTTCCCTTGGAAAGAAAATTGAATTTACAAGTAAGGTTATTGTACGAGCAACTGTTTGCATGTGAAAACTAAAAGAACTTTGTGAAAGCAGCTTACCACAACCGTCCTCGTCACTCCCGTCCGAACAGTCCGTCCTCCCGTCACACCGCCTCCAGGTCAGGGTGCAGGCATGTCCGTGTCCGCACCGGAAGTACCCGAGGGGGCAGCGGATCGCTAGCGCTGTGTAAGAAAACAGCCTGTTAGGTAGAACTGTAACATTTGCAATGTCACCGTAACATGGTCCAGCCCAACAACTGATCTTGTTATTTTGACTTATAACAACGAGGTTCAGGTTGATAGTGACCAGCCCCTCCAGTTTGTTCCGTCATATTGTTACATAATTTATTCCAACACCATATTGGTGACCAGCCGTCCCTGGAGGTCGGCCCTGCTACATTGCTCCATCAATATAACCAAACAACAAGGATCACTGTGAGACAGGAGGGACAACCGTGTGGTCCGAGTCATTGATATTAATTTGGAGTTGAAGGAGAGAAAAAGGAACAAAATAATGTTACTAATTTGCGGAGGTAAAGTTGACATAATTTTGACATACCGTCCTTTAGCTGGCAGATGAAGTTGGATGCGGACGAGCACGGCGCGTCGTTCCATCCGGCCCCGAGGTGGTTGACACAGCCTTCTCCGTTACTGTTGGGTTCCCTGGGCTGCCACCCAGTCCAGTCTGCGGCTGGGCTGTATGGAGTCCCGT